CATGATAAGCAATGGTTTTGCAGAAAAGGGGCCCAAGGATAGCGCTGCAGCCGTAATATATAGAAACCCCATGTGTTTGACCTGCTTTGGCCCTATATTTATTTTATACGAATTTACTTTTCAGATGGCTAAATGAAATTGTGTAAGCGCACCTTTGTCTGACGCCCTCATACACTCTTAATACGATCTTGCATTTACCTCCGAATAACGAAATTGCTCGTGGCGGCCGTTATTGCAGCAGTAAGACTCAAAGAAACCAGTTGATAAATATTAAGACGAATTGTAAAAGTGGCGAATTGACAAGGAAAGATTCGACCACAACCGTCCAAGAAGGAACACGGTTGGTATATCAATTGTTTCATTTGAACTATATTCAAGATATCACACGATTCATTTAGCCAACGTACGGAAAAACTTTTCATCCTGTGGGGCAGAAAGGATTCTTGGCCTTCCTATAACAGAAAACGCTCACCTGTGCTGTTAGGTTTCCTTATAAGGACTTTTATTGGCTTACGAATCGGACCAGTGTTGTAGTTGCAATGTCAAAGAGAACTATGCACGCTCGGCAGAGATTTCACAGGTGGAAATAAGACCATCGGCAAAGCTCATGGCATCGAAAGGGACTAGTATTCCATATGGCATCAAAGCGCTACTATTTTTGGCCTATGTTTGAGGAGGATTCAGCTCTTAAGTTGTTTCAATTTTGTAACTTTACAGACATTTTTTCCTATAAAAAAATGTTTTTGCATTGACCCACCCAAAGGTTCTTATCAGGCGCCGCGAAGCAAGCGGGCATTGGCTAGTCTTACAGCCTTATTCTGTATCACGAACGATAGGCAACACGAACGATTCGTCTGCTGAGGAATGCTTCAAGAATTAGTCCGGCGGCATCATTTTAGCCGGTTTTAATGCAACCGAGACCATTGCAACCTAATGTATGAAAAGCAAGACGAAGACGACCGATAGAGTTTAAAATCGCAATCAGAGAGGTTGTCGTCTGCAGACGAATCGTTCGTTTTGCCTATCGTGCGTGATACAGAATAAGGCTGTTAATATATAAAATTCCCGTCTGACTGTGTTCGTTTACGCTAATCTCCGAAACCGCTTAACCGATTTCAATGAAATTTTGTGGGTGTGTATTGTTGGTCCCAACTTAAAAGATAGGATAGTTTTGAACCCGATACAATTTTTTTTTCATCGAAATTTTTTCTATGCTTCTCGCAACTTTCTTAAAAATCCCGTGTCACTATGTTCGTTTACGCTAACTACAAACTGCCCCATGTCTCAAGCGGGAGTTTTCCAATGTTATTCGTGGCTACGCTTCATGTGTATATTTATGTTGGAGAGAAATAGGTAGGATAGCAACAAAATAATGTAGTATGTATTTATACATATAGACATGCGCACATCAACAGCAACAAAAAGTTTACCGTTTGGACACCATCCAATGTTATCCATTCCTCTGGCTGATGTTTGATCCGTAACCAGAACTCGTTTTTTTCAAACGTAGTGAACAATAATAACAATATTTTGTAAATTTCGATTTCAAATAAAACGTAAGAAACAATACGGGGAAAATTACCGAACACCGAGTTACCGAGTACCAAGCTTCGGTGTGGGGACCCATAATATCTACTATGCATGTAACCTGCCTATGTATCGGTGTGTAGCAGGACAACGTCTGCCCGGGCTTACTAGTCTTCTTCTATATATAAAAATGATTGCTGTCCGTGTGTTATCGCATTACTCAAGAACAGCTCAACGGATTTGCTTCGTTTTTATTTCATTTTATGTCTTTCTGTCTGTAGAAAGTTTGTAAAGAGAAAATTGGAAAAATGGTGTTGCCAGATATCTGCAATATCAGAAAACAAAAATTATAAATATGCCGCAATAATGCTATTTCACTGAGAACGTATAAAATAACTAATTCGGAACAAAAAATCGGATAGGGTTGCCACCATTCGAAAAATAAGCTTATATATAGAAATGGATTGCTTTCATGTGTTCATCACTCAAGCTCAACGGACTTGCTTCGTTTTTATTTCATTTTGTGACCTTCTGTCCGTAGAATATCAATATTTTTCGATCGGAAAACTTGGTTTCTCTTTTGGATATTATCAATAATATTACCCAATTGTTTATTTAACCACTTTATATTGTTAACTATTTCTTGTAGGACCACTAAAACCCTCAAAAAAAAATGCAATGGGGGACCCATAAAAATTCGCTATTATTAGAAATCGTAAAGTAAACAATTGGGTGTAATTATTGGCAGTATCTTAAAGAGAAGCAATGCTTTCCTATCAACAAATATTTATTTAATAATTCTATACCATTTTTACGAAAACTTGTTTTTACCCCATATCAAAACACGGAAAATTTTGAGCGCTTTGATCGACCTCTAAATATTTTTTTATATAAAAAGAAGGTATAACTTTTTCGGTATCATTCATTTTATTTAACCCTGCTTATAAACTGTATGTTTTTAGTAGGCTTTCTAATAGTTACATTTGAGGTTACATGTTTGAGAATTACACAATTATTGAAAAATATACTAAAAGTGAAAGTACTTAAAAAGGTATTTGAGAAAATGACATTAGTTTACACAATTTATTCATTTAATATGTTTGTTACGTCGGGTGCAAAATAAAAAAACCGTACTTTCAGTGTGTTGAAAATTCACTAAAATCTGTAAATTTATTAATCATTCGTTTACAAATTGTTATAATTATAAGGCAAATGATCTGAGTCTTACACTTGTGTTTAGCTTAACACCCGATCGCTTGTAAGATTTCAATATTTAGTATTTTAAGTTTAATTTAATAAAATATATTCAAGAAAAAGAAAGACAACCGAACTTTTCTTCTGTTTGCCGCAACTGCAAATTGAACGTGTTGAAAAGTACGAGTAATCAAAATGAGTTACATGAGAGCGCAATTGCTTTGACAGCGAAGAGGAATATAGATAGAGCGAAATTCGCCTGAGCTCCAGGGATGCCATCTCTTAAAGCGTTGGGGATAAAAAGCGGCGCAATATGTTTAAAGGCGGCGTAACATATCCCCCTCCGTAAACCTTGTGCAGCTCTATGTGCAATGTTTACCCTTTACGTCCAGTTTTGCGATTTTGACAGCAGGTCGAGTGAACAGTCCTGCTGCAGTTTTTACGACAGCGCTTCGTACTTGCCCGTCCTTGGAACGGTGAATGTCGATGACCACGCCTTTTGGCCAAGTATTCCTTTTCAAATTATCATCTGCGATTACAACCACGTCGTCGATAGCGATGGGGTCGGGTGACTTTTGGAACGACTTAGCTCGTCTGGTTAGACATGGTAGATACTCACGAACCCACCGCTTCCAAAACTGGTCCGAAATTTGACTGGTTATTCGAAAGTTCTTACCCAAAACTGCCCCGGTAGTACTCTGCTCGTTTCGTTCTCGTATTCCATTAGAATCACCAAGCAGAAAATGGTTTGGTGTTAGTGCTTCCATTTCCGGATAATCTATTGGCACATAGGTCAGTGGACGAGAATTCAATATGTACTCGATGTCAGCCAGAGAAGCACGGAGCACCTCTTCGCGAACATTTACCTTTGGAAGGATGTCCATAAAAATGGATTTAATCGAGCGAACCATGCGCTCCCAAACGCCTCCCATATGAGGCGATGCCGGTGGAATAAAGTGCCACTTCACTTCAGGATGTCGACGCTCCAGCTCACCAGATATCATTCGCTCCATTTCATTTTTCAGTATCCGGCTAGAACCGCGAAAATTGGTGCCGTTGGCTGACCAAATGCACTTTGGTACACCACGGCGAGACATAAACTGCTTTAACACGAGTAGAAACGAATCTGTTGACAATGAATGTGCTATCTCGATGTGGACTGCTCTGATAGTCAAACACGTAAAAACCACGCCCCAGCGCTTTTCTCTCCACCTGCTAACTACAATTTCAATTGGCCCGAAAAAACCCACGCCACTATTTGTAAAAGGTCTCTCGTATGCTGCAAGTCTCCCCGCTGGAATGTTTCCCATTTCCGGGGCGCTTGGATGCGCTTTACGGTTTCGGCATAGTTGACAGCTTTTCGCTGTTGCTCTGACTAAGGCTCTCAAACCTTGCACCCAATACCGCTGCCTCATTTCATTTATTATAATTTCGTTGTGATGGTGGTGGAACTTCCGGTGATAAAAGTCGGTAATTAGAGACGTCACACGATGGAGACGTGGCAATATGATTGGTCTTCGAGTGTCCCAGGTTGCGTATTTCATTGCATCTATCCTACCTCTAACTCTGAGAAGGCCTTCTGCATCCAAATATGGCGAGTACTTGTAAATCCTACTGTTTTTTGAAACCGCTTTCCCTTCTCTGAGAAGTTGCAATTCTTCGCCAAATGCCTCTTCTTGGCAAATGCGAATAATTACACATTCCGCACATGCCACGGTACTCATATTAAACAGTGTGTTGATTTTTAGTACGTTTGTCTGTTTTGTCACGCTGTGAAGAAAATTCAGCACATAGCTTTGTGCATTCCTTAGTTTTTCCCATTTGCTAAACCGATCAGGATTCACGCTTATCACAGACAACAATGATTTTACAGGCGTGTGCAGTGCGACATGGCAAACTAGCTCGTGATCTTGCTCTTGATCATAGTCCATATTGGTTTGTGGCCAATTCACTTCCGGCTGAGACAAAAACGTAGGCCCCACATACCAACGCACCGCTCCATCAAATTCTGGCTTCGGTGACCTTTTGGTACCTTCATCAGCGACATTATCTCCCGATGGCACCCACCGCCATTCATCGATACTGGAGTCTTCTAAGATCTCACCTACCCGCACCGCCACAAACTGATGAAATTTTCTGGCGTCTGATTTTATCCAATATAGGACATTTTTGGAATCGGTCCAAAATACTCGCTTTTCTATACAAATGGACAACTCTGTAGCAATAAACTTTGACAGTCGCAAACCTAGTATCGCACCCATTAACTCCAATCTAGGGATCTATACTGGCTTAAGTGGCGCAACTCGGGTTTTGGACGCAACCAAGCAACAATCAACATCAGCATTTTTCTCTGCGCGGAGGTACACGACGGCCGCATAAGCATCTACGCTGGCGTCCACAAATGTGTGTAGCTGGACTCGTTCGCCATGACTTACTAACGGATAACACCGAGGCACCTTAATATCAGTGATGGCAGGCAGGCGTCGTATCCACTGCCACCATTTCTCCTGCTCTTCTTTACCTATTGGTTCGTCCCACGAGACGCCCGAACGCCATACCTCCTGCATTAAAATTTTCGCAGAGATGAGGTAGAAACCCAACAATCCTAACGGGTCAAATACAGTCATTATAACACGTAACATTTGGCGCTTCGTTGGGATGTTGATTTCATTATAATCTTGTTTCGGGAAATGTTCGAAAAACGTCAACACATCCGCCATCAGTGACCACCACATACCTAGTACCTTCTCGTGTTTTAAATTTGGTTCTTCGATATACTTGTTGTTCTGCTCTGACTGCCCTGTCAAGGCCACCAAAACTTTCGTGGAGTTTGATATCCAGTTTCGCATTTCAAACCCTCCATCGGCGTGAATGTGGCGAACTGTTGTAGCTAATTTGATCATCTCGTCTTCAGTTTGCATGCTTTGTAGCCAGTCGTCTACAAAGGTATTATCCAAAATCGTTTTAACGGCATATGGATGATGAACTTCGAAACGAGAAGTATTTTTATTCTTGACATAATTAGCTATTGATGGAGAGCAAGTTGCACCAAACGTCGTAACTTGCATGACATATACATTCGGTTCCTTTGATGTTTCACCATTCCGCCATAAAAACTTTTGAACAGTTTGATCCTCCTGCCTGACACGTATTTGGTGAAACATCTCACGGATGTCGCCGCACAAAGCTATTGGATTTTCACGAAAGCAGACCAGAATACCTACCATTGATTTCAATAGGTCTGGACGTTTTAGGAGTACAGAATTTAAAGCAACCTTATCAACCGCAGCCGCAGCATCCCACACCAACCTAGTTTTGTTTTTGTTGGGGTTGGTTACGGTGAAAATTGGTATATACCAGGATTTGGGACCAGCCAGCACTTCATCTTTACGTACTTTTCGCACATAACCCTTCTGTTCGCATTGCTGAATGGTGTCTACCAGAAATGTTTTTAAGCTAGGATCACGCGCCATCCTTTTCTCAAGGCACTGAAGACGGCGCTTAGCCATAGGTAAGGACTCAGGCAGCTGGATCTGGTCATACTTCCAGAGAAGACCGGTTTCCCATCGCTTTTCGCTTGGAAGATATTTTGTAGTTGAATTCATTATACGCTGCGAACGCTCATCTTCCTTAGAAACTAAAGGGGATACGTCTTTCACGCCGATCGATTCTACCGTATAGTGTGACTTGACTAACTCCTCAATGCGGCTATCTACACTGCATGTGCAAATATGCATCACACGTTGGCGTGAGGCTTCGTTTACGTCGTTACGTCCATAGACGGACCACCCTATTTTACATTTCGCTGCTACTAGGTCGTCGCCATCTTTATCACGAGTTTGCAAAGGAACACCAAGCTTAATGTTATCGAGGCCGATAAAAATACGCGCCTGGGCTGCTACATATGGATGAATTGGTAATTTTCTCAAATGCTCTCGACATGATATGGCAGCGCTCTCAAGTGTCTGAATGGGCAAATTGAGATTGGTTACAGTGCGTACATTTTTTATTAAGTATTTCTTTGAACCTGAACTTCGAGCTGAAATATGCAGCGAAACAGATTTTGAATTCGCCTCGTTTTGTGTAACCTCACCTGTCCACTGAAGGCAGAGGTCTTCTGTCGGTCCGTCGAGACCAAGTTCAGCTGCCAACCCGTCTTCGACAAGAGTGCACGCTGACCCTTCGTCAATGAACGCGTATGCTTCTATTGACCCCGTTTTACCATGAAGTGTCACGGCTATATAGCGGAAAATCGTGCTTTTATTTTCCTTGGCATGAAATAAAACGGTGGTATTACGAGCAAGATCATCTACGCCTTCAGATATTGCCAAGGATCTCATATTACCTTGCGTGGGTGCGTGAGGCAGTGGATTGTGGGGCATTTTGCAGCCATCAACGGAACATGTCTTTTTAGAGTTGCAGCGTCGCACGAAGTGCCCTTTGAAACACCTTATACATAATTTTTTCTCACGGACGAATTTCTACCTCATGTCTCCATTCAACGCTTTGAATTCGACACAGTCTGACAGACAATGTGGCTTAGAACATTCTGGACAGCTTTCTCCTTCACTGCGGCGAACGTCGTGAAGCATAACTCCGGATAATTTACGATGTCCCTTTCTTTCCTCACTAGCAGAAAGTGTGGCATTGCTATGCCCTATAGGTGTAACTTGGCTGGCGCAGGTGGCAAGTTGGAAAAGCCAGTTGTCAAATATTGCTATATCAACTCGTGCAAGCGTCATTCGGTGCTTGCCCAAATCCAATCTAAGATCGCTTGGAAGCTTATAGAGCAAATCGTTTAATAGCATGGGATCATTCAAGTAGTCCTGAAGCCCAATAGCTTGCATTGTGGCCCTATAATTTTGCACGGCCAATGCAAAGTTTACCAGCGATTCCAACTTTTCCATTTTGACCATAGGTTGTTGCCTTAATTTCTTCTGAAGGGTGTGGTGGATGACGTCGGGTCGACCATACAACATGCGTAGCGTTGCAATAGCAAATGACACCGTGCTAGGCATCATCAGCTTTCCCCTAACAGCTGGACCCTTTAAGCATTTTTGCAGGCGAATTAAATTTTCCTGGTCTGTAAAACCACACCTTTCGGTCGACTGCTCGAAATTGGTAATGAAGAGCGGCCAATCTTCGGGATTGCCAGAAAATACAGGCAAATCCTTGGACATTACGTGACGCGCGGCGATTTGTGATGAAGACAAAGTTAAATCCGCTACCGAATTTTGCAGAAAAGGAAAACTTGAACTAGTATGATGTAATGACGTCATTGGCTAGGTAAAACTGACGGCATTATTGTTTGCGACTGAATTTGTTGTGCCCGTTGATGGAAAATAGCACGGACGCTGACCTTGAATGGCGGCAGACGGAGCAAGATTGGGTGCAGATACGTTAGAAAATACGTTGTTAGAAGAAGGGATAGTACTATGAAATATTTGATTGTTATAGGTAAGGGCGCTACTTGTGGCGCACTTGTTGTGAACGTGTTAGCATGTTGAACCGTGTCTCGGCTAGTACCAACGCGGCACATAGGGGTATTTGAACGATTTAGGCGGCCAAAAACCAATTTGATAAAATTTTAGAGAAAACTTAAAAAATTAGTCACATTCGATTGGGAACATTCCAAATAACATTTCCCAGCCCTCCTCACTTTTCTAACTTGCTCAGCGAACGCTCCCCGTTGACCGGAAACTGAATATTCTAACGCTGCTTATAAATAAATTTTCGCTCTCTAGAAAGATCGTGACGGTTTTAAGTTAATATTTTGACTACTGCAGTATATTCTTAAAAAGTAGTGATGGCTCCGCATACAGACCGTAATAATGCATTTCAGCGTAAATATTTTTTAATAATTTTATTAAGCAAAAGTTCAATTTAAATGTAACGAAAATAGCGGTTTTCAACGAGTTATTTTTGTTAATTTTTGTGAATATTAAGGAATTTGTTGTATCCCCGGGAGAGATCGCGTTATTATTCTTTGTTCAATTTAAAGCTTAGAAATTTGGCTAATATAGTGTGAAAAGACTGCCCGCAGAAAATGGCAGATAAGTGGTATTTCTTAATTTAGAAAATGTATTAAGGAAAAATCTAAAAACACGACTAGTATATAGTAACACTACTTTAGATCTATTTTAACACTAAAATTAAACTTTTTAGATGAATTTGAGGCCGCTGAACTAGAATATGAATCCATTTAATTTAACAAATAAATAGTTTTCGAGATATTAGCAAAAGTCATGTTTTCTTGGACCTTTCGGTCCTGTTGCTACAAATCTGCGGGAATATAAGGCGAACCCAACTATGTTATATATTAAAGGCCTGCAAATGTTGAACTATAAAACATAGCGACATGTGTCGCATCATGCAAGTGCCAGTTCATGTCATGTCGCTCATACATGTTTGACTATGGCATATGAAGGCACTGTCGAATAAATTGAATTCAAATCAGGTCGCACATATGAACATGTCAACACAAGCGACACATGCGACACATGCGACACATGCGACATAGGCAGCATTATTAATTACATTGTATATACGTGAAGAGATTTTTCAAGCTGCTATTATAATAAAATTCATAAAACAATTGTCTAATTAAAAATTAAGACTGATTAAATATTAAGACTGATTAAATATTGAAAGTGGCATATATTCTACCGCTAAAAAATGTTCAAAAAACGAGTTATTTAACATATTTGAAGAAATAAAAAACAACGGTGAAGTCATTAAAAATTTTATGTTTTGCTCGCGGTGTAAAAATGTTTATAAATTCAACTATAAGTGTACCTCAAATCTTTTGCGTCACAATTGCTTCATAAAGTACAAATCATCGAAAGATAAACCATTAGCAAATGTAGAGCCAAACAGCGAGCTGAAAAAAAGTGTACCCACTTAATGGTTCAGTGGGTAGTTGGTAATTGTAGACCTTTTACTGTTGTTAACGACGAAGGACTTTTAAATCTTGTTCAGTTTTGTGTTTACACTGGCCACGAGTTCGGCAACAATTTAGATGTGAGAGCTCTTTTTCCGCACCCTACAACTGTGTCCAGAAATATTGGAAGCCTTTATAAAGATCAGCACAAAATTCTTAAAGAAGAATTGTGTTCTATTAAAGAAATCGGTTTCAGTATAACCTGCGATTTATGGAGCGACAATTATTTAAGGACATCATATATTGGAGCTACTGTTCACTACATAAAATCTGGAATCATAGTAAACAAAGTTCTTGGAATGATCGGAATGGGAAGTGACAGAAATACCGGTACGTTTTTTAGCACGATTATAGACTTCATACCATTAAATTTTTTGATAAAATCATTATAGGTATTAATATTAGAAAGAAAATTGAAAGTATACTTAAGGAATTCGACTGTGAATTTAATGAAAGGATCAGAGTAGTAACTGACAGAGGATCAAATATGCGAGCGGCTTTTCGTTTTGATGAAAATATTTTCTGCATCAACCACCTGATAAATAATGTGCTTGAAAGAGCAATATCAGATACAGCCGAAGTCAACGCAATCGTAGGAACTTGCACCAAGCTAGTTAAATATTTCAAGAAGTCAGGTGTTAATAGTTCTCTAAACACCACGTTAAAAAGCTATACGCCAACAAGATGGAACACTGTTTTCTATTTATTAAAATCGATACAATTAAACTGGGTCCATATAAAGCAGATACTTCAAGAAAAACAGGAGACTACTAAATTGATAAATATTAATATAGCAAATATTAATGAAATAATTGAGATTCTTAAACCATTTGAGGAAGTTTCGAAGCTTTTGGAAGGAGAAAAATATCCCACAATTCATCATGTTTATCCTCAAATAAGAAAACTTAAAAAAGTAGCCGTAATAAACGACAAAATTGATTCAGAAACTGCTAAAAAATTTAAGGAGAAAATTGTACATTATATCCAATCTGTGATTGATGAAAACATAAAGGACTTTCATAAAATTGCGCTCTTTTTATTTCCACCGGCGAACAAACTGCTATATTTTTCGGAGAGTGAGAAAAGAAGTATTCATGAACAATGCATAAAAATGTTAGAAACATACAAAACTACATCGGTTATCTTAGACACCACAATGAACTCTGTAAATTCTGAGGATGATCCTTTTAACGATTTTGTACAAGCTGTATTTGCACCCGAATACGATGACCAAGTGCACAATGAAATCGTGAGATATTAAAGTCAGACAATTTTATACCACAAAGAATTTCAACCACTGGAGTGGTGGAAAGCCCATAAAAACGAATATCCTTTGCTTTTCAAATTAAGTGGTTTTGTATTAGCGACACCAGCTAGCTCCGCTGCATCAGAAAGGCTCTTTTCAAAAGCTCGACATTTGCTATCTGAAAAAAGGTCAGTTCTCGGAAAAAACGCAATAAGTGTTAATCAAATTATGTTTTTGCAAAGTAACTTCGATTTTAATGCATTGTATACTATAAATTCAAATGATGAGTAAAGCAGGATTTTAACCGTTAATTGTTTTACTGGAAATGTGAATTGTTTCGTTAAGGTTATTTGAATTTGAATAAAAAAATTTTTTCTTTGTATTATATGGAGTATATAAAAAAGTTTAATTTCAGATTTCAAAGTTAGCTTTTTTAATCAATTATTTATTTGATTTTATATTAAACATTTATTAAAACCATACAAGGCAGAATGAAACAGTAATAAAAATATGCCGCAGAAATACAACAGCGAACAACAGCTTAGCTAAGTTGCAATGACATGCTACAACAGTATGTTTGATATGGAATGACATGACACAACACATTGTTTGTATTGATATGACATAGCAATGCACGAAATTTTTGAAAACGACATTTTTACAGAAAATGTTGAACTTTGCAGTACTTTATTATATATTTCGGAATAAACATTTGTTTTCCTTTACATTGGTGTTATATAAATGATGATTAAAGAAATAGTTTTGGGTATACAAGCGTTTAAATTAAAATAAATCTACGATATTTCAGTAAATATTGTATCCAAATTGTTAAAAATTAGTATGTAAACTAAAATTTTGGAACAAAATAGGATTATTATTAAAGTTTTAGAAAATGGGTGTGGCCCCGCCCACTTATGATGAAATGCTGTATATCAGTATCCACTTCACTAATCCGTACCAAACTCGGTATGAGCCTTGCCTAGGCTATATCTAACATAACTGCTAAAAATTCTTGAAATCGGGCGATAACCACGCCCACTTCCCATATAACGGTGATTTACAGAAACGCGAAAACTGCGATAAATCAATAACTACTGAAGCTAATTCACTCTAAATCGATTCTTGGAATAACCTCTTAGCATTAATGAAAATTATAAATTTTTGGGTAATGGGCGTGGCGCCGCGCACTTTTGACC